ATACATAATATTTATTAAGAATATTTTCTTCGGGTAATAGTGTCTGTAATTTAAAAATGTAAATGCAAATATAATTTAATAATGTAATATTTAATTATTTGCAATCATTTAAAATCAAAAGCAAGCCTGCTTCTAAAATAATGCTTTTTAGTACATATATAAAGAGAGCGAGAGAAAGAGATAACGGTCTCTTCTTTCATTGTAGACGGCAATTATTTTCAGAATAATAATATATACAGTCATACAACAGATTTTATAAATAATGTTTCATAAAAAAAAATTAAATTTAAATATATATATATATATATATATATATTATAGCTGAAACTAATTGCTGCACAAAATGTTCTACCTACCCATGTAAAATTGCCTATATGTTGCTGCGAAACAGAATAACATAAATGTATAATTATTGCAAAAAAATTCACGTGTGACAATAAAATCTACTAAAATGTATATAATAAATAGAATGTATAGAATCTATTCAAATCTAATCCATTAAAACAAATACATTTTTATAAAAAAAAAAAAAGTATAAATAAAAAACATGATTTTAAAGGAATGACTACTTATTCTAAAAACAAACAATAGCTAAAGATATCAAAATGAATAGAAATACAGAACAACATTGACTTTGTGCTTATGTAGCAATAAGAACAGAATAAGAGGGTGTGATCAACTTTACACTTTGTCCTGGTTATCTCTGGTATGAATGGTATCGGTCTTTTTTTACAGGGTTTCTTAACCAAGCATGGTAAGGAATAAGCTATTGTGTTTTCATATGTGTCCACGTGACACCTCTAATAAACTTGGGATGGGGAGGTCACAGGTTGCCAACAGTCAGGTCAGGCAGGAGGTTAGTAGAAAGATGCAAATCATCCATGACTGGCTCCAACTAAATAGAGTTCAAAATAAGGGAAGTCTAAGTTCACCGTTGAACAGACATTCGCTCTGACAGGCGACAGGAAGGATATCAGACTCGGCAGTCCATGAAAACAAGAGGCCATGACAGATGCTCATGAAAGCTGCACTTTATGGCATGAATGGTCTATCAGCTGGTAATTCTATATATCACTTTGTGGAGTAGAAACATGGGATCTCCAAGTTAAAATGTGAATCAAGTCATTTTTATTTTCCTAAAGAATATATGAGTGCCTTCTCAATTTAGTATGCCAAAAATGCAAGAAAAAAGGACTTGCAATTCATTATGCAAATACTGTGATGTTATTGCTGTCAGTTAAATGTTATTGTGATGAACAGTCTAATAAAGTCAATGGGAGATTTTCCAACCTTATCTTGAAACTCTTAATATTCTTTCAAGTTTGACCAATGAATTTCCATGACTTTTCCATGATTTATCCAGTTATTTGAGATAACTGAAAAATAATTTTGATTAAGACTAATTACAAGACCAATTCCAGAGCTTTCTGACAGATTTATGAACCTGCTTAACTGACTCATTGAAATAAACAAACTTGAAAGAACAATTTGCTCAAATGTCAGACATCAACTATAGCTTGTGGGCAAGTTTTAATCTAAACAAGTACAAAATCTAGTCAATAAAATATTTAAGATCAAAGCAAAACTAGAAAAATCTATATTCACTACAGAAACAGCCATTAATTTTCCATGACTTTTATTAACTGCCATGACTTTTACAGACCTGACAAAAAAAATTAATCACAGATATTTCTAGATTTTCAATGACTATGAGAAACCTGAATAGCACTTAAAGCTGAAATGATCAACAAAACAGTTTGAATGTACTAATGTATTTGTTTTGAATTCATTTCAGAATTTTAACACCTAGTGTTTATAGGTTGAGCCTAAACCAGAACGTTTGCGGAATAGTAATCTTTACAGACATTGAAAACGAAACAAGACATTATGCTTAAAGACACAGCTAAGCTTCTCAAAAGGCCTATTAAACATCTAACCAACACCGGACCCTCACCTCTGTACTGCTGCTCTCCTCCTCTGCCTCATAGCTGCTGCTTCTGTTGGGTGGCAGATTGGTGCTGGAACTTCTTTCTCCATGTGCTTGTCTACAGGTTCCTTTACTCCTTTGTTTCTTCAATCCTTCCCCGTTTTGTCTGGAGCTTTGGAAAAATTCTTTGCACTTGGGAAACACATCATCGCTATCATCATGGAAGACCACATCACGGCCTTCATCTTCAGAAGAGGCCTCACAAGCATCTGAACCTTCATTGGCTTGGGCATTCTTGATCAGACCCAAAAAACTGTCATAATCTGCAAAGGTAATGGAGCTGGGCTTGTGTCTGATGATTCGGGGTAGATCAGCCCCCTTGGAGACTGGCAAAGGAGCCGAGTAAGGGTGCTCAATGTGAGATGGTCCCACTGGAGAGGATGCAAAAGAGTAAGCGGGTTCTGATATGGGTCTGACCGTAAAATTTGAAAAAGGATAAGTAGTAGACGAGGTGTTTGAGGAGTCTACATCACAGCTGTTGATCACTGGACTATCTGAGCGAGTCAAAAAATAGCTGAACCCAGTCTCAGCATCCATTTGGAAGTCAGGTTCACAATAAATGCCATTTAGTTCAGATTTTGGGGTTGATATTGGAGCAGAAGTGCTTTGATGTTCAATGTATTTCTTTGTCCTTTCTTTTGTGAGAAGATTCAAGATTTGAAGACAAGGTCCACCTTTGTTGACAAGCAGTGGTACAATTTGATTGATCTTCTCTAATGAACTTTTATTCTTCAACTCAAGTTGTGTTTGGTCTTCCAAAGGCTCATCTATAACAGACGGTAGTGAATCAGAAGTATCTTTTAAGGTCAGGTTTCTATCCATGGTTGAGTCTGCCATTGAAAGCTCTACTGAGAAAGTCATTTTTGGGGTCTCTTGCAAAGCTGATGACTTCTGTCCTTCTAAAGTCATCATGGGTTGATCATCCATGTTTCAATTTACAGCTTGGAACTAGCCATAAGGAATATCCAGAAGAGTTTTTGTATGATGCCAGAAACTGCCACGTTCATCATGTTCCACCATTTGGACTGAACTGGTTTCTCTGTGCTAATTAGCACTTTGTGTCAACCATCCTGAAAAGAAAGAACAGAAATTATAATGAGTTTGTTTTAAATGTGTGCGTGATTTTTTTTCAAGCCAGGTATGTTTACTTAATTAGCATACTTTAGTGTGATTATGTAATTTCACAGACTTAATAAGGAGTTTTATCCAAAGCAATCGTGTTTCAATAACGGTAGTTTTAAACACGTTTTAGATGGTTATTCTGGCCAAGACTAGTTAGACCATCTTAAACCAGTAATACACCTAAAGTGGGTTTAAGACATTTTCTTTTCTTTTCAACAAGGAAATTAATGAAAATACATCTCAGCATTGCTTCTTATGGAAAAGCATGAGTATTATTCCAACAAAGACTCAAAAGAAAGCACATTTCATTCAAATGTCTGAATTATTTTTTATATTCTCAGTGGTAATCAACAGTATGCCAAATATGTAGTGTTTGCCCCAGAATATTGCTTTAAATGAGATAAGGATACATTGGAGCATTGCTTTGAATGGGATTTTATGGAAACGTACAGATATATTCATAAGGAGTGACACCCTGGAAAGAATAGAGAGTCTCACAGAAGCAGAGAAGGGATAACGGAATCCCAAAGAGGAAAAGAGGGAATAACAAGGAATCTTGCACAAGTAGAGGAGGGAATAACATGGGGATCTGAGGGGTTGAACATCTGGCTCAGGCTGAGAGCATTCAAGTCTGGATCTGTTGAAGGCACCACGGTGGTGACATCAGTGCTATGAGGAATCTGGCTCTTCGCTCTCCAGTGGCTGATTTACAATTTACCCCGCCATTCATCAGTTGACCTAAATATCCCAGACCAGGCTGTGGTTAGCAACCCTGCTAACCCCCTCATTAACCCCCAACCACACTCCACAAAAGCACACGTTAAACCACAGGAGGAGCCTGATTGGTGGAGGAAGAAAAAACATTCCTTTCTGACACCATAGTTGAAGAACATCATCTAGAGAGATGAACTGTGAAAGACAAAGATTATTCCTGACAGGATTATTCCTGAAATCCTGCTACTCATTTGGGATTGGTTGGTTTTGTTAGATTTATTAGTTTAGCATGCAAATTGCATCCTGTAGATCAGATTAGTAGAAATCGGTAAATTACATATAACGGTGTATTAAGTTTTTATAAAAATTAGATGTTAGGTTTACATTCATTTGAATGAATATAGTCAAATTTATATTTTAGATGCTAATCACTTTCATTTTAGCACTAAAATAGTCAATGTGAAAAACCAAAATGTACAAATATGGCATACAGTCTCACATATATCATTATTGCCATGTATAGCCTACACTCTAAAAAATGAGTCAAATATGGACTAACCCAGCAGCTGGGTTAAATTAGTTAAATATTTAACCCAACAGCTGGGTTAGTCAATTTCTTTAGAGTGTATAATTAAAACCTGTTTAATCCCACCGGTCACAATAGTGACTTTAAAAAATGTTTTCATTTATAAAGCTCTAAAAACCTTACTGACTGATGTTTTAGTGTACTTCCTGTAAATATGGGAAAAATAAAGGGTCTCAATGAAATATGTGCAGTTTCACATGATTAGTGCAAACTGTCACATGACCAGAGCAGTTTATTTCCTGTTTGCGCCTTGAAAAGATGATAACTGCATCAAAGCTCCAAAACAAAAGGCTAGTTAAGTGTCAACAAAGATATGACAAAGATTTTTGGTACACATTATCTTTAAAGGGGTCATATGACGCGATTTCAATTTTTCCTTTCTCTTTGGAGTGTTACAAGCTCTTGGTGCATAAAGAAGATCTGTAAAGTTGCAAAGACTAAAGTCTCAAATCCAAAGAGATATTCTTTATAAAAGTTCAGAGTCAGCCTAATCTTTACAGACATTGAAAACGAAACAAGACATTATGCTTAAAGACACAGCTAAGCTTCTCAAAAGGCCTATTAAACATCTAACCAACACCGGACCCTCACCTCTGTACTGCTGCTCTCCTCCTCTGCCTCATAGCTGCTGCTTCTGTTGGGTGGCAGATTGGTGCTGGAACTTCTTTCTCCATGTGCTTGTCTACAGGTTCCTTTACTCCTTTGTTTCTTCAATCCTTCCCCGTTTTGTCTGGAGCTTTGGAAAAATTCTTTGCACTTGGGAAACACATCATCGCTATCATCATGGAAGACCACATCACGGCCTTCATCTTCAGAAGAGGCCTCACAAGCATCTGAACCTTCATTGGCTTGGGCATTCTTGATCAGACCCAAAAAACTGTCATAATCTGCAAAGGTAATGGAGCTGGGCTTGTGTTTGATGATTCGGGGTAGATCAGCCCCCTTGGAGACTGGCAAAGGAGCCGAGTAAGGGTGCTCAATGTGAGATGGTCCCACTGGAGAGGATGCAAAAGAGTAAGCGGGTTCTGATATGGGTCTGACCGTAAAATTAGAAAAAGGATAAGTAGTAGATGAGGTGTTTGAGGAGTCTACATCACAGCTGTTGATCACTGGACTATCTGAGCGAGTCAAAAAATAGCTGAACCCAGTCTCAGCATCCATTTGGAAGTCAGGTTCACAATAAATGCCATTTAGTTCAGATTTTGGGGTTGATATTGGAGCAGAAGTGCTTTGATGTTCAATGTATTTCTTTGTCCTTTCTTTTGTGAGAAGATTCAAGATTTGAAGACAAGGTCCACCTTTGTTGACAAGCAGTGGTACAATTTGATTGATCTTCTCTAATGAACTTTTATTCTTCAACTCAAGTTGTGTTTGGTCTTCCAAAGGCTCATCTATAACAGACGGTAGTGAATCAGAAGTATCTTTTAAGGTCAGGTTTCTATCCATGGTTGAGTCTGCCATTGAAAGCTCTACTGAGAAAGTCATTTTTGGGGTCTCTTGCAAAGCTGATGACTTCTGTCCTTCTAAAGTCATCATGGGTTGATCATCCATGTTTCAATTTACAGCTTGGAACTAGCCATAAGGAATATCCAGAAGAGTTTTTGTATGATGCCAGAAACTGCCACGTTCATCATGTTCCACCATTTGGACTGAACTGGTTCCTCTGTGCTAATTAGCACTTTGTGTCAACCATCCTGAAAAGAAAGAACAGAAATTATAATGAGTTTGTTTTAAATGTGTGCGTGATTTTTTTTCAAGCCAGGTATGTTTACTTAATTAGCATACTTTAGTGTGATTATGTAATTTCACAGACTTAATAAGGAGTTTTATCCAAAGCAATCGTGTTTCAATAACGGTAGTTTTAAACACGTTTTAGATGGTTATTCTGGCCAAGACTAGTTAGACCATCTTAAACCAGTAATACACCTAAAGTGGGTTTAAGACATTTTCTTTTCTTTTCAACAAGGAAATTAATGAAAATACATCTCAGCATTGCTTCTTATGGAAAAGCATGAGTATTATTCCAACAAAGACTCAAAAGAAAGCACATTTCATTCAAATGTCTGAATTATTTTTTATATTCTCAGTGGTAATCAACAGTATGCCAAATATGTAGTGTTTGCCCCAGAATATTGCTTTAAATGAGATAAGGATACATTGGAGCATTGCTTTGAATGGGATTTTATGGAAACGTACAGATATATTCATAAGGAGTGACACCCTGGAAAGAATAGAGAGTCTCACAGAAGCAGAGAAGGGATAACGGAATCCCAAAGAGGAAAAGAGGGAATAACAAGGAATCTTGCACAAGTAGAGGAGGGAATAACATGGGGATCTGAGGGGTTGAACATCTGGCTCAGGCTGAGAGCATTCAAGTCTGGATCTGTTGAAGGCACCACGGTGGTGACATCAGTGCTATGAGGAATCTGGCTCTTCGCTCTCCAGTGGCTGATTTACAATTTACCCCGCCATTCATCAGTTGACCTAAATATCCCAGACCAGGCTGTGGTTAGCAACCCTGCTAACCCCCTCATTAACCCCCAACCACACTCCACAAAAGCACACGTTAAACCACAGGAGGAGCCTGATTGGTGGAGGAAGAAAAAACATTCCTTTCTGACACCATAGTTGAAGAACATCATCTAGAGAGATGAACTGTGAAAGACAAAGATTATTCCTGACAGGATTATTCCTGAAATCCTGCTACTCATTTGGGATTGGTTGGTTTTGTTAGATTTATTAGTTTAGCATGCAAATTGCATCCTGTAGATCAGATTAGTAGAAATCGGTAAATTACATATAACGGTGTATTAAGTTTTTATAAAAATTAGATGTTAGGTTTACATTCATTTGAATGAATATAGTCAAATTTATATTTTAGATGCTAATCACTTTCATTTTAGCACTAAAATAGTCAATGTGAAAAACCAAAATGTACAAATATGGCATACAGTCTCACATATATCATTATTGCCATGTATAGCCTACACTCTAAAAAATGAGTCAAATATGGACTAACCCAGCAGCTGGGTTAAATTAGTTAAATATTTAACCCAACAGCTGGGTTAGTCAATTTCTTTAGAGTGTATAATTAAAACCTGTTTAATCCCACCGGTCACAATAGTGACTTTAAAAAATGTTTTCATTTATAAAGCTCTAAAAACCTTACTGACTGATGTTTTAGTGTACTTCCTGTAAATATGGGAAAAATAAAGGGTCTCAATGAAATATGTGCAGTTTCACATGATTAGTGCAAACTGTCACATGACCAGAGCAGTTTATTTCCTGTTTGCGCCTTGAAAAGATGATAACTGCATCAAAGCTCCAAAACAAAAGGCTAGTTAAGTGTCAACAAAGATATGACAAAGATTTTTGGTACACATTATCTTTAAAGGGGTCATATGACGCGATTTCAATTTTTCCTTTCTCTTTGGAGTGTTACAAGCTCTTGGTGCATAAAGAAGATCTGTAAAGTTGCAAAGACTAAAGTCTCAAATCCAAAGAGATATTCTTTATAAAAGTTCAGAGTCAGCCACGCCTACCTAAAACGGCTCGTTCAACACGCCCCCACATATCAACGTCACTATGTGGGAAGATTTGCATAACGCCGCCCAAATGTTCACGCAAAGAAACAAGGCGTAACTTTTATTCTCGCTGTAGTATTGTTGCTGCCGCCATGTCGTGAAGGTGCTGTGTGTTTCGTTGTGAAAGCGAAACTACTTTGTTTGGCCTTCCAAAAGTAGACAATATCTGCTTCGTCATGCCTAGAGCTGATCCGT